ACGAGCGTTGCACTGCGGGATTCGGCCAGGTGGAAACCATCCCTCATCTCTTCGTCGCCTGTCCGGCTCTCCAACAGTTTTGGATGTGGTGGGCCGCAGGAGTAGGAAAGTGAGTCCTTTCTGTGTCACGGAGGACGATGTGGCACCCATTTTAGTGGGCGCCCTGATCAAGGTGGACAGGAAGGACAAGGGGGAGCTCTATGCCTCGGAGGTGATACGGGCGGCTGTTCTCTGGGCCATCTGGACCCTTCGAAACGAACGGTGTCGACAGGGCAGGGAGATCACCCTGCAAGCGTTACGCGCATGGGTCCTGGAGAACCTGCGCACGGCCATGTCCACTGAGGCTCTGCGGAGTAGGAGAGCCAAAGATCACGGTCTGACGAAGTTGTGGGCCGTCAGGGGTAAGTATCCAGGCTTGGTACAGCAGGATGCGAATCTGGGGCTATGGAAATATGGCCCGGCCCTGTGCAGTCTCGGGTCTGCTTAGGACTAGGGTGAGTCGACAGATGCGTAGTAGATGGCTTGAGCCTGAGTGATTTTGTGTGTTGTTTTATTCCCTGGGGTATAGTAGGCTAAACGGTGAGTGGAGGGAGGGGGAGGGGAGGAGTAGTTGCTGTAAAGAGGAGGATTGGTACTAACACAGCATTACGCAATCAACAGGGGTCTTTCTCAGTCCTGTTTTTTTGAGTGTTAACAAGTGTAGTGCACAGATACGACGATAGGGAAACCAGTGTGATTAAGAAGATAGGGAACACGAGGTATAGGTGGAGTAAACTGAGTGTAGTGAGTGAATGGAACGGTTTGGTTGTGAGGCTAGTTGACCGGGCAGGAATGCCCCCCCACAGAGGAGTGGAAGGTCGAGACGGGCTATGGGGGGGTCTGGGTACCGTCAGGATGTTTCCCGCCCCTCATGCCCCACCCCGACATCCCTCCTGTATTGTGGGAGGCCATCCCTGTCGCAGCCCCCTGCTGTTGGTGTCTCGGGCCATGCATGTTAAGCCTTTCCTTCTTTGCTTTTCTACCACCATTTCTAATTCACTGTGACTCTTTTTGCTTGAAGGTGATAAGCAACCGGACTGGAGCCCCCCAGAATAGAAGGGGCAGTGTGTGTGTGTGGAAAAAAAAAAAAAAAAAAAAAAAACTGCGAATGGCTCATTAAATCAGTTATC